CTAACTGTCAGGAAATACTTCCTGGCATTCAAATGGAACCTTGGCTCCCTGAGCTTTGCTTCATTGGAGCGTGTCCTGCCTTCCTCTGCATGGGAGAACAGGTCTCTTCCCATCTCCATGTGACATCCCCTCATATACCTGTATGTCGCCAACATACGCCCTCTGAGTCTCCTCTTCTCCAGGCTGAAAAGACCCAGTTCCTTCAGTCTCTCCTCATACCCCATCCCCTGCAAACCAGCCACCAACCTTGTGGCCCTATGCTGCACTGACTCTAACCTGGCTATATCCTTTCTGTAATGAGGGGCCCAAAACTGAGCACAATACTCCAGTTGCGGGCGCACCAGAGTCGTATAGAGTGGTAGCAATAACTCTTTCGATCTAGAAGCCACACTTCTGGCTATACAACCAAGGGTGGCATTCGCCCTCTTGACCACCACATCACACTGCTGACTCATGTTTAGCCTGCAGTCAACCAGCACCCCAAGGTCCCTTTCACAAGTGCTGCTCTCCAGCCACTTGTTACCGAACCTGTACGTATGACAGCTAGTCCTATGCCCCAAGTGCAAGACCTTGCACTTATCCACATTGAACACCATCCTGTTGTCTCCTGCCCACCTCCATAGTCTGTCCAGATCCTTTTGGATCTGGAGTACCTGCTCCTCAGTTGTGGCCACTGCTCCAGTTTTAGTGTCATCTGTGAATTCGATGAGCAGACTGTTCACCCCTTCTTCCATGTCGTTAATGAAAAGATTAAACAGGATCAGCCCCAGGACAGAGCCCTGGGGGACCCCGCTTGTCACTGGCCGCCATCCTGATGATTCCCCACTAATGGTTACCTTCTGCTTTCGGTCAGTCAACCATGCCCTAATCCACCGGACAGTGCTTTGGTGTATCCCAGAACTCCTCAGTTTCTCCACCAGGATATCATGGGGCACTTTGTCAAAGGCCTTGCTGAAATCCAGGTATACCACATCCACTGCATCCCCTCCATCTAGCCATCTC